GGGGAGGACGCGCGCGGAGCCAGCCCGCGCCGGCGCAGGCCGCGGGGCCCCGGAGCCTCGGGGCGGGGGCGGGGCCTCATTACCAGAGAGCCGCGCCGCGGTGAGAGCGGGCGGCGGGCGGCGGGGGCGCGGGGGGGGGCGCGGCGGGGGCGGCGGCGGGGGCGGTACAGGGGGGGGGCGGGGGCGGCGCAGGGGGGGTCGGGGCGCGGCGGGGGGGTCGGGGCGCGGCGGGGGCGGCGCAGGGGGGGTCGGGGCGCGGCGGGGGGGGTCGGGGCGCGGCGGGGGCGGCGCAGGGGGGGTCGGGGCGCGGCGGGGGCGGCGCAGGGGGGGTCGGGGCGCGGCGGGGGCGGCGCAGGGGGGGTCGGGGCGCGGCGGGGGCGGCGCAGGGGGGGGCGGGGCGCGGCGGGGGGGGCGGGGGCGGCGCAGGGGGGGGGCGGGGGGGGGGCGGGGGCGGCGCAGGGGGGGGGCGGGGGGGGGGCGGGGGGCGGTGCAGGGGGGTCGGGGCGCGGCGGGGGCGGTGCAGGGGGGGTCGGGGCGCGGGGGGGGGGGCGGGGGCGGTGCAGGGGGGGGTCGGGGCGCGGCGGGGGGGGGCGGGGGCGGCGCAGGGGGGGTCGGGGCGCGGCGGGGGCGGTGCAGGGGGGTCGGGGCGCGGCGGGGGCGGTGCAGGGGGGGCGGGGGCGGCGGGGGGGGGCGGGGGCGGCGCGGGGGGGGCGGGGCGCGGCGGGGGGGGCGGGGGCGGCGCAGGGGGGGGGCGGGGGGCGCGGCGGGGGGGGCGGGGGCGGCGCAGGGGGGGCGGGGCGCGGCGGGGGGGGGGCGGGGGCGGCGCAGGGGGGGCGGGGCGCGGCGGGGGGGGGGCGGGGGCGGCGCAGGGGGGGCGGGGCGCGGCGGGGGGGGGCGGGGCGCGGCGGGGGGGGCGGGGGGCGGTGCAGGGGGGGGCGGGGCGCGGCGGGGGGGGGGCGGGGCGCGGCGGGGGCGGCGCAGGGGGTTCGGGGCACGCCGGGAGCAGACGCCCCCCCCCTCCCCCCCCCCCCGTCCCTCCCGCTCGCTCTCCGAGCCTCGCCCTCACCCCGCCGCCGCCGCCGCTTCCCGAGGAAGCGTCTTGTGCTGCGACTTGCAGACGCCAGGTCCCGCTGCTCTCTGCAGGCCGGCTCCCGGATGCAGCCGGCAGCTGTCCCCAGCCCGGCTCCCTCCGATGTGGACGGTGGTTTCTGCCGACGGCCGGGGGGGAAGCAGGGGCAGACAGCCGCTTCACGGTGGTGAAGGAGGTGGGTGTGTGGAACCGAGCCGGGCAGCAGAGGGAAGGAGCCGCCAGGGCACTGCCCGGAGGTGGGGTTTTTGTTGGATTTTGGTGCCAGTGCCCAGGCCTGAATTCCCGGCTTGACCTTCTTGGTCAGCTTTTACTACTACTACTAACGACTAGTGCCTTAGCAGTCACTTGAGCCATGTCTCCACTTATGGCTTCTTTACTTTTTTTAATGATTAGCTGCAGAAAAGAGTCTTCCAGGCTTTTCTGGTTGGCTTCAAATACCATTCTCAGATTCAGACTCCCGAGTACCTAGAGTTACAGGCTTGAGCCACTGACGCCGGGCTTCAGAGGTGATTTTTGAGCTGTACTCCATTAGGTGGACAGGGAAGGGCAGGTCTGTTTTGTGTGCTGAGGAACCAGGCCTGCTTTATAAACTGCAGGTGGCACACACACAAACACAATGATGCTGTCTCACAATTACTCAGTGCTGTCCTGACTCCTGGGGGAGCTGCGTGTTTTCTCCTTGTCCCTCTCAGTTCAGTGATCTTTGAGATGAGGAAGGAAGTAGGAAAGTTGGGATCTTTCTGGGTGGCAGAAGAGACAAGATTTATGAAAAAACTAATGTACATACCCAGCAAATCTGTTTCCAAAAATTATGTTCTTGCTTTAGAAAATGGGCAAGTGGGAAATTGCAGTTTGATAGCTCGCAACCCCTCAATTCCTTTTAAAGAAAAAGAGCTATATTTAGGCTTAGGATTGAAAATGGGGAGACAGCAAGATTAGGGTCTGAGTTCAAACTACAAGAAGGTTGTTTTTTTTTTTTTGGGGGGGGGGGTGTCCAGTCATGGGCCTGAACTCTGGGCCTGCCAGCCCCAAACCCTCCCTGTCATCTTTCCAAATGGCAGTGCTGACCAGATGAGCTGGTCCTTCCAGATAGAAAGTCTCCTCTTGCATTTGGCTTAATTAGCCATAGTTGCAGTAAAGGAAGCAAATGTGAAGACTTAGCTTTCTTGAAGTTCACAGCTCAGTTACCTTTAATATCTTGACATGGTAAAGAAAGACCAGTGTTGGACTTGGTTGTGTTCTCCTGGAGACTAAGGAAATAGAGTCCTTGAAGTCAAGTCGACTCTGCTTTTAGCCTCCTAAAGGAAAAGGTAGATAGAACAGGTCTTGTTGGCAAAATAAATTCAAGACCTACTTATCTACCAACAGCATTTTTACACTTTCCATCGTCGTCGTCTTATAGAAAGTACGTGTGGTGAACTTTTAGATGAGAAAGGTGGAGACCGCCAGGTGTCAGTGGCCTGAGATCTGAAGAGCAAGGTTTGAAGTCAGCTAATTAAGCAGCAAAAAAGAGCTGGGCTGCAGGTGTGGACCAAGTGGTCAAGTGCCGCCAGGAGCAGAAAAGCAGAGAGCTCTAGTCCTTTTTAGTTCAAGCTCAGATAACCACACACACACACACACACACACACACACACACACGTACGTACGTTTGCTAGTGCTCACAAAGGCTCTGTGATTGTCTTACATACTCACCTCCCTTTTTGTGTGTGTGGGGTGCTGGAATTTGAACTCAGGACATTTACTCCATCACACACCAGCCCTTCTTTCTCTTTGTTAACATGAAGTGACAAGGCTGTGTAATGACTCAAGAGTTTTAAGTTGGTCTGTGTAAAGCTAAGAACCGATTTTTATATTACTGGTTTTAACCGCCCAGAGTCAGGTAGGGATCGTCACTACAATGGTCACATTTTAAAAACTTCTGTTTTGTTTTTTTTTTGGGGGGGTCCGGTCGTGGGGTCTGAACTCTGGGCCTGGGCGCTGTCCCTCAGCTCTTCAGCTCAAGGCTAGCCCTCTACCACTTGAGCCACAGCGCCACTTCCAGCTTTTTTCTTTTTGCTTATGTGGTGCTGAGGAATCGAACCCAGGGCCTCAGGCATGCAAGGCAAGCACTCTACCACTGAGCCACCTTCCCAGCCCCCAAGAACCGATTTTTATATTACTGGTTTTAACCGCCCAGGTAGGGATCGTCACTACAATGGTCACATTTTAAAAACTTCTGTTTTCTTTGTTTTTTTTTTTTGGGCAAGCACTCTAGCACTGAGCCACCTTCCCAGCCCCAAAACTTCTGTTTTCTAACAGACTTGTCAGCAAGTTTCCATGAGCACAGCCATGAGATAAACCCTTTCCTTGCTGAAATTCAGTTTCTTTAGCTCATTCATGGTACCTTAAGGAACTGGAATACCTTACTAGAAAACAAAAAAGCTTTTGGGGGTTGTTGTTCTAGACTTACTTTCCTTCTCTTCCCTTCTTGCAGAAGGCAGCAGAGATGATGAAGCAGACCTGGACCAGTAAGCCGAGTGCCCCAGTGCTGCTCCAAGGTGGACTGTGTGTCCCGAGTGGACTTTCAGGTCAGGTAATTCTCAATTCTAGGCAGCTCTTTTCTTTGTAAATAAAGACATTATTAAAGTCTTACAGTGTCAGGTTTTTATCTACTTTTCCACTCGTTCATCAGCAATTACAATGTAAAGTACTGTGAAGCCTAGAAGAGCCTGGATTTACCCTTTCCCATCATGTACTAAAAATGTTTCTGAATAAGTACATGTCTAGTGGCTCACACCTATAATCTTAGCTACTTAGGAGGCTGAGATCTGAGGATCACGGTTCAAAGCCAGCCTGGGCAGGAAAGTCTGTGAGACTCATCTCCAATTAACCACTAGAAAACCAGAAATGGTGCTGTGGCTCAGGTGGTAGAGCACTAACCTTGAGCTGAAGAGCAGAGCGTGCCCAAGCCCAGAGTTCAAGCCCACAACTGCAAAAAAAAAAAAAAAAGTACAAGTCTATTTTAGTTGTTTAAAATTTGAGCCATTCTGTGCTTATACCTCCTATACCTTATCTTGGGGCAGCTGGTCAGCTTGGCGGGGAATGTGTGTGTGTGAAGTTATCAGGGTAAGTTAATTCTTGAATCTGCTACAGTTTATATGAGACAGTTCAGTGGGGAATGAGGGGTACCGTTATTTTACTTACGACCTGGGCACTGTCCTTGAATTTTTTGGCTCAAGGCTAGCTCTCTACCACTTTGAACCACAGCTCCACTTCCAGGTTTTGAGTGGTTAATTGGAGAAAAGAGTCTCATGGGTCTTTTCTGCCTGGGATAGTTTCAAACCATGATCCTCAGATCTCAGCTTCCTGAGTAGCTAGGATGACAGGTGTGAGCCACCAGTGCCTGGCTTTAGGTTGTTTTTAATAAAACCCTGGGTGATGAGAAGTGGCCAGGTCTGTGCTTAGAGCCATGGTGCTGGTGCTGGGAGTCAGCACTGGTTCAGGAGTGGAGCTCTTGCTCTGAGCCCGACTTGAGCCTTGGTGCACTGTGCGGGAGAATGCAGCGAGGTCGCTGGGCTGCGGCAAGGCGGGGGCCCGAACGCCATCTGCAGGACGCTGTGCATTTGTGCTGGTGAGTGTTGGATGTGTCATGACTCCCCAGTGCTGGGGACACGGTGGTTTTCCCTTTGAAGAGAAGCAGTGGTGGAAGATGAGGTTCTGTCCAGTGTTGCGGGGCAGGCAGCAGCTCCTCCCAGGTCTTGGCTTCTGGTCTGGCCCTGCAGGTTGCGGGCAGTTCCTTGTCTGCGTGACCCCTGGGGTGGGCTGTGTTCCCTTGGGGCTTCTGTACCCCCTGGGCACAGGTCTTTGGGAGGTGCGGGAGCGCCCTGCCACCCCTCACAGCAGCAGTAGCAGGCGGATGCCAACCACACAATTTACTCAGCGTGTTTTATTTGGTGTACCTGTTACATGTGAGCTCCAGGGCAGTGTGGACAGCCTTTACGGGAGAGGCATCCTAGGGGCGTTAGGTCAGCATGTTGGGAGCAGTGCCATGGGGAGGGGCCCAGAGCCTGGAAGGGGGGACCAGGCTTCCAGGGGCGCTGAGGACTCAGGGCTCCCCATCTCCTGACAGCTTTGTCCTCAAGGGCGTCCCCAGGGGCGGTTGAAATGTCCCAGGTGCACAGGAGCTTCTGGAGCCATCAAGACCTTCCTCCCCCAAGCCCCTGAGGCCTCAGACTCAAAATGCTCGCAGGTACACAGATGGGTGTGCTGAATGCTCAGGCGTGCTCAGATGGGTGTGCCGAGTGCTCGCGTGTGCTCAGATGGGTGTGCTGAGTGCTTGCGTGTGCTCAGATGGGTGTGCTGAGCACGTGGCAGCCCTTCGGGTTCATTGAGTCCACCCCTCCTCTTTCATGGCCACCCTAGTGCCAAGTAGGTAAGGGCGCATGGACCCAGCATCTGGGTCAGGTGAAAGGACCCTGCATGCCAGTCTGCCAGATACTAACAAGACACAAATTACATGAGGCACCCAGTGCTCGAATCCAAGGCAACCGTGGCTGGCAGAGGGCAGGAACAGAGAAGAGGGTGCCAGCAAGGCCTAGTAGAAAGAGGCATGCCTGGGTGTTGAAATGCCATTATGTATCTTTAGACACCCCGGCTTTTCCAAAGAAAAACAGGGGTGCACAAACCGGTGAAGCTGACAGCTGTAGGTGTACAGGTGCTGAGCGCTGTCCGCGTTGAAGAAGGACAGCTTCGACTTCTCGTAATCTAACAGGACACCAATCTGCTTCGGTGCTACTGTTATTCTTATGTCTGGTGTTTTCCCGTTGTGCAGAAATTCATATTTGTGCCTGAAAATTCAGTTTCACAACAAAGCTTCAGAAATTCCAGCAGTAGAGCTATTCATAGAGCATTTCTTGTCAGTTCCATTCATTCCTGTGATCTGTATTCTGTTAAGTGACTACCAAGTTAGCATGTCATTTTTAAAAACCTCTATTCTCACATTTGTCCTGAGAAACATGTTTTCCAATTCTGTTCTTGGGCAACTTCTCTACCTCAGAAACTTACATAAAGACTGGTGAACTAATCCTGCACCAAAATTAGCATAGACGGCACAGGGGAACGCTGGGCAGCAAAGCCCCGGTGTGTAGATCTTGTGGGATAAAGATGTTTGCCAGGGGTCCTGCTGGCCACGTGGAAAGAAGAGCACTGCACCATCCGGTTATGATTCTGACCGAATAGGGCGTCGCGGCTGGGGCCGGGAGCCCTACCTCCCTGGCCGGGTCCCGTGCGCGCGGTGTGCTTTGTGAAATGGCTGAAACCAAGGCCAGCCTGACCCTTGACCTGCAGTCATGGGGGAGTCTGTGTGCCAGCATCTTGGTCCCAACGCCCAGAGGAGCGCTTGGAATACGATCTGAATGTGTCAGTGAGCCAGCCAGCCTGCCTCCATCCTGGTTCACAGGGTCTGAGCAGCCACGGGGAGCTAGAGTCCTGGAACCAGGAACAAGATCTAAGAGTCCCCTGGAAACCTTGCCCTCCTCTGGTGACGTGACTTCTCAGTACCCTCCCTGTCCCCCCCCCCGGAAACTGCTGCGGCTCCGGGCTTTGCTTCTACCTGCTGTCCTGTTTCCTTGCGTGTCCACTGCTCGCTGACTGACCCCAAGCCCTTCACTTCACAGCGCTCCCCGCTTCCCCTGTGCCCGCTCACACCCACCATTTCTAAAGGAGACCCTGACCTTCAGCCTTCCTTGGGACCAGTGACAGCCTCCTGTGCAGCGTGGCGCACAGGGATTCCTGCACCTTTGGTCAGGTCCTGAGCTCTGTGTCAGCTCCATCCCTCTTGGTGTGTGCCTGGCCACAGCACAGGTTCAGATAAACTGGGTGGAGGTCAAGCAGAGAACAGGACAGCGCTCACCAAGCCAGGTTAGAGCCCCATGTGCAGAGGCTGCTGGGGAGCAGCATGGAGGCTGCAGTTGGGTTTGTGTATGACTTGTTCTAACCGTGGCCTAAGCCTGAAGGTCCCGTGACCAGCCACACTGCCCAGCCCGCGTCCAAGCAGACTTCGCAGCAGAAAGCCATTTTTACTCTTCCAGGTTTAGTGGAAAAGGAAGGAGCGGGGTTTCAAGTCAAGCTGCACCAAGTGACGCTGAAGCTGAGCACAAGAGAAAACCAGGGGTTTAGTGTCGGGAATGCGTCTGCGAAGCAGGACTGCCCGAGTCCTCTCGGGGTCAGAGCTGCCTGCTGTGGCAACCTTACTTCCACCAGGACACGACGGTGAGCAGAGTAGAGCCCTGTTGGCACCTAATGAACTTCAGACATTTTTAACTTAAAATGCTCTTTCTCTTGGTGCTGGAACTTCGGGAAAAGGGGCTGGCTACAACCCCTGGCGTGCCTGAGAATATTTATACAACGTAACTTGGCTCTTGGTCACGGTGGAAGTGCAAACCTGGTTCTCAGATCTTTCCAACCTTAACCTTGGGTCCCAGAGTCTGCTTTACCTGGATGAGGAGAATGTGTGCCTCAGGCACCAGGCCTGCGGGCTTGCCCCGAGGTCCTCCTGTCTCGGGATGTCCTCAGAGGCCACGCCCACGGTGTAGTCAGAGTGTTCATCCACCTCCACCTCCCAGTAATGGCGGCCTCGGAAGGGGATTAGATTTCCCATGACAGCAGCACACCTGGTTTTACAAAGTAGGAGTGAAGGCTGGGGCTGTCGCGGTGGCCTGGCCTCCGGTTTCCTGCCACACTTCACTGTGATCTGAAATGTAAATCTGGACCTGCATTAAATCGTCAGACCGTCCTGCCCTCCTGGGCCTCGTCCCGTCCCGTCCCGTCCTGCCCTCCTGGGCCTCGTCCCGTCCGGTCCCGTCCTCCTGGGCCTCGTCCTGTCCCGTCCCGCCCTCCTGGGCCTCGTCCCGTCCGGTCCCGTCCCGCCCTCCTGGGCCTCATCCCGTCCCGTCCTGTCCCGCCCTCCTGGGCCTCGTCCTGTCCTGTCCCGCCCTCCTGGGCCTTGTCCCGTCCCGTCCCGTCCTGCCCTCCTGGGCCTCGTCCCGTCCCGTCCTCCCTGACCTGACGGGCGCCCCGCTGCAGCCTGGCGCATCTCTACATCCCAGAGTCCCTCCTGCAGGGCCTGCCCTCCCAGAGGCCACCTTCAGACCCCCATCCACCCAGCCCCGCCTCCCCACCAGCCCGCTCTTCTCTCGGTGACACTGTCCTGAGGGAAGTGTGCAGAACATTCTCGGGAGCCGCGCTTTGTGTACCTGCTGAAGCGGATCTGGCTGGGCAGTGGCTCCCGGGCTGGGGTTTTCCTTTCGCTTCGAAGCACCGTCAACCCGTCCTCAGAAATGGTCAGCGCGGGGTGGCAGGTGTCCTTGTTCAGGTGGAAGACGCTTCCTGTGGGAGAGGGGACACCGGAGACCCCCCGTGGTCACTCCAGACCCCCGCCTGGGCTTGAGGCCCTGGCGGTGGCCGTGTCCCAGGCTCAGTGGCCTTGTTCCCACCCTCACCGACTCCACAGGCCGCACAGAACTCAGCAGTTGGCAAGTTGTCTTCTTCAGTCCTCACAACCGCCCTTAAAATCGGGTATTTCTGTTTCCATTTTATAGGTGAGGAACCTGAGGCGGGTGGGTGAGGAATTGGCTGGGAAACAGCAGCACTGAATCTGAACCCTGCCTCTCGCTCCAGAGGCTGGGCCCTTCCTTGGGAGCTGTAAATGCCAAACCTGGGCAAGAACTTCTACCCCTTTTCCCCAAGGGGCCTGGAATCGAACCATCGATTAGACATCGATGAACAAAATTCAACATCCAGCTCACAATTAGGGCAGCTGGGGAGAGGAAAGATTAAAATGAAGCCCACGGAAAAGTCGTTCAGCTGCTTGGAGTGGAGCACAGTGATCATGGCTAAGGCCAGCCCAGACCAAAGTTATGAGAGACCTTATCTCAAGGACAAGCCAGTCTCGGTGGTTCATGCTATGCCTATAATCCCAGCGGTGCAAAAAGCTTGAAACTTGATGAAATATAAAGAAGGAAAGGCTGAGGGGGTGTGGCTGAAGTAGTTGTGCATTTGCCTAGCAAGCATGAAGCCTTGAGTTTAAAATTTTTATTTATTTATTTTTTATTTTTGTCGGTTGTGGGGCCTGAACTCTGGGCCTGGGCGCTGTCCCTTCAGCTCAAGGCTAGCGCTCTACCGCTTGAGCCACAGCGCCACTTCTGGCTTTTTCTGCTTATGTGGTACTGAGGAATGGAACTCAGGGCCTCATGCATGCTAGGCAAGCGCTCTACCACAGAGCCACCTTCCCAGCCCCAAGTTTAATTTTTAAAAAGTGATTCAGGCAAGATTTAATGAAACACTGCAGTACTGGTACTAGAATTCATCGTGTCTTAGCCCAGCCCTTCTTAGGTTCGCATTGGTGATGTCTCATCGTCTCAAGCTCTAGTTCAAGCATCACCACTGATGAGCAAGCAGGTGCCTTGCATTTCACACCAGGCGGTCCTCCTTGCTCCTGGGTTTTTGCTGATTGGCATTCACTCCATTTTCCTTGTATATTGTGCACTCCAGAACACTGTATGCTCTAGAAGACCATGCACTTGAGTATACTGTGTGCTCTAGAACATTACGTGCTCTAGAACACCATGTGCTCTGGGAATACTGTGCGCTCTAGAACACCATGCACTCTAGAATACCGTGTGCTCTGGAACACTGCGCTCTAGTATACTGTGTGCTCTGGAACACCGTGTGCTCTGGAACACCGTGCGCTCTAGCATACTGTGTGCTCTGGAACACCGTGTGCTCTAGAACACTGTGTGCTCTGGAACACTACACTCTAGAACACCGTGCACTCTAGAACACCGTGCGCCCACGCAGAGGTGACTGATCAAGCGTTGTCTCTGCTTTTGCTCTCGGCTCCCGGGCCGTGAGTCATGGCCAACAAGTGGAGGGAGGCATTGTCCGTCCCTGTTGCGTGACCTCAGGCGGCTGTGCCACTTGCCTTGCTGTAAACATGGGCCAGTTGCAGGCCCTCTCTCCCTGGCCTTGGAGTGGGGACAAAATGGCTCCATGTTCCTCAGTGAAAGGCCCCAGCATTAAGAGGGGCTGTCCTGTGAGCCTGCCAGGCCCCAGCTGGGCCCCCACTCCGCCCACCTGAGGTGGGTTTCTGGGAGAGGTGTGGGGAGCCCTGGCCTCACAAGGCCCCACAGCGCTCAGCACAGAGCCCGGGGTGGCGGCACTGCAGAGAGCTCTGCCAACGCAAGCCTTCTCTGACATGCTGCTGGTGATGAGGGGCCGAGCAGCACCGCAGAGAGGGCCGGGGGTGCAGAGGGGGCCATGTCGGCCTCTTGCAGGGACGCTCAGGCAGGGCTCTTCCGGGGGGTTTCCTGAAGATCCCTAAGGGAGGGATTTGCTTGTGGGACAGCGGGGGCTGGGTGCCAGGGATGGGGGGAAGGGCAGGGGTGGTGGGCACAGGCACAGCCCGTACACAGCACAGCTCTCTGCCGCTGCTCCACAGCACTGGGTCTGCGGGGAGTGGCCCCTTGGGGTGTGGCCTGGGCACAGACCTGTTGTGTGGACAGTGGCAGGCTGGCTCTTGGCGCTGGAGCCTCCCACGTTCAGGGCCCGCACGTAGACTGTGTAGCGCTGCCCAGGCAGCAGCTGTATCAGGGACTCACAGGTTGGGATGCCCACAACCGACCTGGGTGGGGGGAGAACGCAGTCAGTGCTCAGGACCACCCGTGAAGGAGTTTGCTCTTCCTGCAGCAGTGGGTAAGGTGCAGGGGACATCTGGAGCCTCTGACAACACCATCATTCTGGGCTGATCCCATGTGTCAGGTGCGTCTAAAGCCTCAGCACAAATTGCAAAGGTGACTTGAGCCACAACAGTGGCCAGAGCCGCTGGACACCCAGCCCCACCCCCGAGTAGCTCAACAAGTAGAGACCCCAGTGAGCTTCACAGTGGCTGGGATAGAGGGGTCCCACCAGCAGACAGGGAGGATCGATGGCCGGTTCCACTTAGTGCTGAAGAGTTGGAGCTCCAGGAGCTGATGCCAAACTTTTCTGCTTCACCAGAGCCAGAGAGACCCCTGCTGGGTGGGGGCAAGCTGCTGCCAGGCACGGGCCCAGTTCCTTCCCATCCACCCTTCCAGACCTTCAGGCCCTGAGTGTGAGTGCCTCCCTCTCTCTGCAGCCAGCGGTGACCATGGCAACCAGCGGTGACCATGGCAACGGGGGGGGGGAGTGGACCAGGGGAGGTACAACAGACCATCTACCACAGACAGTAGCCCAATGAGCCGTCCCAGTCCTCCACCCTCCCTGCAGGGCAGGTGCGTGTGGGGGCCACTCCAGCCCCAGAAGCCCCCAAAGTCGGGCGCCCCTCCAGGGCCGCCTCCGCGCCCCTCTTTTCCTCACTCAGCAGCTCCCTCGACCGGAACGTCTCCTTGCCTTCCCAGTACCACCTAGGCCTTCGGTATTTGGTGAATGAATGAATGGGTTGTGTTAAAAGAAAAATCAAAATGTGAGGCCTCCGGCGTTTCCACTCTCTCACCTTCAACAGCAGCATGGCAGCTACTTCTGAAAACGACGCGGCCTACGAAGAAGAAGCCTGACCTGGCCCACCCCCTCGCGCGTCTACGTCCCAGACTCACTCGGTCACGCCCGAGGCCTGCGGAGTCGCTGCCAGCGTCAGCTCCACAGTGTAGGAGTCCACCGGGCGCAGGCTCCCGGACTCCCAGCTGATGAGAGCGGCCCCCTCACAGCTCCTGATCTCCTCGCACCTTATCACCGGCGGAGAGGGCGCTACGTGGGGGAGACAGGCAGAGGGCAGTCATGGCGGCCATTCTGCTCAGTCATGGACAAATACACAAAAGACTCGACTTTCCACGGGGGCCCCGCCCACCCATCTCCGTGGGACGCTGGGGATCGGGCTCTGCATGCCACGTACGGCAAAGTGTGGCCCACTCTACCACAGAGCTGGCCCGGTGCCAGGAAGGCCAGCGTGCTCAACAGCACCGCACCCCTCCCAGAGGCTCCCGCGGCAGACAGCTCTGTGAGCCTTGAAAGTGGTGCCAGGGGCCTGGCTTAAGTGGTCGAGGACCTGCTCCGTCTGTGCAAGGCCTTGAGTTCAAACATCAGCACAGGAAAAGATGTTGTGTGACCTAGTGCAGTTTTTGTTTTGAACAATCATAAGTAAGTGTCTCTGTGATATCAAGTGTGTAGATTTAGTGTATTAAAAACACTGGCCCCTTGGGGCTGGGAAGGTGGCTCAGTGGTAGAGCGCTTGCCTTGCATGCCTGAGGCCCTGGGTTCGATTCCTCAGCACCACATCAGCAGAAAAAAAAAAAGGCTGGAAGTGGCGCTGTGGCTCAAGTGGTAGAGCGCTAGCCTTGAGCTGAAGAGCTGAGGGACAGCGCCCAGGCCGAGAGTTCAGGCCCCACGACTGGACCAAAAAAAAAAATCCAAAAAACAAAACAAAAATTAAAAAAAACCCACTGGCCCAAGCTGGGTGCTGGTGGCTCACACCTGTCATCCTAGTGACTCAGGAGGCTGAGATCTGAGGATCGAGGTTCAAAGCCAGCCCGGACAGGAAAGTCTGTGAGACTCCTATCTCCAATAAACCACCAGAAAACCGGAAGTGGCGCTGTAGCTCAAGTGGTAGAGCACTCACTTTGAGCTGAAGAGCTGAGGGACAGTGCCCAGGACAAGAGTTCAAGCCCCACAACCAACCAAAAACAAACAAACAAAAAACATCGGCCCAGCGTGGCAGTAAACAACTGGAATCCTGGCACTTTGGAGGTAGAAGCAGGAGGATTGTGAGTTTGGAGTCAGCCTGGGCTACATAGTTAGACTCTGTCTCAAAAATAAATAAATAAACGAATGAATGAATAAATAAATAAATAAAACTAAAAGGAAGAATGTCACCCAGGTCCTCCTGGCCTTTCCCCGGGGCCTGGACGCTGACTCCCGGGTCCCCGCTGTGGAGGAGAGCGGGTTACCTGTCACGTATGTGGCGACTTCACTGCTTGGGCTGGGTCCTGCCCTGTTCTCTGCTATGACCCAGAATTCATACTGCGTATTGGGCTCAAGGTTTCGCACCGAGCAGTATGTTTCTTTGACTGTCACTGTAAATTCTGGGGGAGAAAATTCAGAGAAGAATTTAAAGTGTCTCCAACTCCCTGTGCAATCCTCAGTGCTGTGGAAGGTGCGTCCCCGCCCCGCCCCGCCCCGCCCCGCCCCGCGCTCTGCAGTGGGCTACTCTGGAGCATCTGTCTGTCACCGCGCTATTCCTTGAAGCCAGGCTTCCTCCGTGGCATGCCCGGACAGTGGGGCAGGGCTGGGGAAGCGGCCATCCCAGAGTCCTCCTACATCTGGACGTGGATCCCATCAGCAGCCCCTCACCCCTCAGGGGTCTGCACACACGTCAGGATGGACATGCTAGAAGAATCTGGCCATGCAAGGCCTCCTCCCCAGGGACGCACACAGGCAGGGACTGTGCCAGGACAGCCCTGACACCCAGCCGCCGTGGGTGTGGTTCTCACCAGTGGCTGCCATTTGCCCTCCCGGCCATGCCACCCTGTGCCCCCACAGCTCCCTGCGGACCTTTCCCCGCGTGGTCCTTGTGGGGAGAGCTGTCCTGCGCAGGCCGGTAGCACAGCTGGTAGCGCTCCACCGTGTCGTCGGAGTGCAAGCTCCAGCACACCCGGACAGAGGAGCTGGTGGCCGAGTTGGGGGCCTGCCGATTTATCACCGGAGCGGAGGGAGCTGAGCAGGAAGAGAGGAAAGAACAAGAGCACGTGAGGAGCTGGGAGTGTGGGCGGGGGCTGGGGGCAGAGCGGCCTGCACTGGGCGTGCACGGGTCTGAGTCCATCTGCTGTGAGCTGATCAGTTCCTTCTGCCCATTGCGGTGGCCACACCTCTGTACCTGAGGTACAGAGAATTGAGGTTCAAAGCTAGCCCTGGAAGAAAGATCCATGAGACTATCTCTGATTTAACTGGCAAAATACTGGACTGGAGGTGTGGCTCAGGTGGTAGAGTATCAGCCAAACAAACAAGCTGAGTGAGCACAGAGTCCTGAGTTCAAGCCCCAATACCGGGAGAAAAAGTAGCATCATGTCCTCACCCCCAGAGTCTGTCACACACAATCAGGAAGCAAGAAGACACATTTCCCTTTGACTTCCCTCTTCTACGTAGCACCTCCCTTCGTCCCAGGCTTTTAAGAAGTCGAGAATCAATCAGTGCTGCCCAGGAGCTGGGTGGAGGAAGAAACCAGGATTTTTTTTTTTTTGCCGGTCGTGGGACTTGAACTCTGGGCCTGGGCGCTGTCCCTCAGCTCTGCAGCTCAAGGCTAGCGCTCTACCACTTGAGCCACAGTGCCATGTCCAGTTTTCTGGTAGTTAATTGGAGATAACAGTCTCATGGACTTTCCTGTCTGGGCTGGCTTTGAACCGTGATCCTCAGATCTCGGCCTCCTGAGTAGCTAGGATGACAGGTGTGAGCCATTGGTGCTTGGTGAAACCAGGAATTCTTGTTCAAAAAAGCAAAGATTCAGTTATGCAACATGAATAAGATGCCCAGGGTTCACAGTATGGTGTTTTGCACTTTAAGAGATGTGAGAGGACACAGTCTATCTCTGCTCTTTCTCCCCCCTCCCCCGCCCCTTTCCCTTCCCCCTCCTCTTCCTCTCTCTCAGAGGACACAGGGGAGAGTCCTACCTGGAATGGCATTCATTGACCCCATCAGCTGCTCCACCTCAGTGAAGTCCAAGGTCTGGTCTTCAAAGTCCGGTTGTGCAGAGATCTCCACATGGGTCTGTGTTTTCAGGAAGTTCCCCAGTCTGTAGGTTCACAGAGGTATAGGTGTGCCCGCGGTGCGGGCTGGGACTCCTCCTCTGCCAGGCTCAGGCTGGACTGCAACCCACCTATTTTAGGCTTCCCTTCATTGCTGTGGTGTCAGGGTTTCCCATGCCCAGCTCTCTGTTGAGAGGGGGTCTGGTGACCTTTCCTGCTCAGGCTGGCCTCTACCCCAAATCTTCTCTATCTCAGCTGGGATCACAGACATGAGCTACAGGAGCCTGGCTATTTGTCTTTCTGTCTCTCTCTCTCTCCCTTCCTTCCTTCCTGTCATTGGTCATGGGGCTTGAACTCAGGGCCTAGGCACTGTCCCTGAACCCTTTTGTTCAAGTCTACTGCTCTACCACTTTGAGTCACAGTGCTATTTCTGGTTTTCTGGTGGTTATTGGAGATAAGAATCTGATAGACCTTTCCTGCCTGGGCTGGCTGTGAACCACAATTCTCAGATCTCAGCTTCCTGGAGCTAAGGATTACAGGCCTGAGCCACTGGCACCTGGCTAGTTTGTTTTCTTGATGATAGTCCTTTTAATGGAAAGAGAGAAGAGTTTCAATGTACCACTCTCCTTCCTATGTTTTCTGTGCTAGGATTACAGATGTGAACTGCTATGCAGGCTTGGTAGGCTCATTAAGTTTTGCCTAGACCGACCTCAAGTCACAGTTCTATCTCTGCCTCTCAGGCTGCTGGGGTTACAGGTGGCTGTGAGTGTGTATTACTGTGCCTGGTAACAATTCCGATTTGTATTTCCTTTAGGGGTTAAGGATGTTGAACAGTTTTTCATCTTTTAAGAATGGTCTGTTCATTCATCCGGAGCTCTGGGTCTTCTTGTACCTTTCTCTTGGCAGTCACAAGGTTCTATGTGGCAAAGGCAGAATCTGAAATCCATCTGATATTACATTATCAAGTCTCTGTGTTCACATTGCTTTACAGACACTGTCTTACTAGGGATTCACAACTGGTTAGTAAATGCACTGGTGAACCTGCTGAGGGTGGTAGGGTTTGAACTCCCAGCTGTCTGACTATAAACCTGCTTTTTCAGCTGCCGGTCTGGGGCCTAGAGCAGCTGGGAGAGGCAGGAGCTTCCTCCAGACCCCTCCTCCCGGTGGAGGAGGGCTTGAAGATACCCACCCACAGCATGCCCCCTTCTGCCCTGAGACTCTGAGAGTCAGCTCTAGGGACCTAGCGCTGTCACCCCAGTGCTAAGCTGCTCATGGGACAGACTCCAGGGCTGAGGACAGTGGAGTTACCTGTCGGCCATGGCCACCGCGTCCTGCGGGAACACAGAAGAGAAACAGTGAGTCAGTGTGGGAAGGGACTTTTCTTTCCCAAACAGATGATAATATGAACATGCTTAAATACTTGGAAACAAACACACAAACCAGCTGTCCATACCCTCACAAAGCCAGCCACTGAGTGTGACCTTTGTTTGTTTTTGTCGGTCATGGGGCTTGAACTCTGGGCCTGGGCACTGTTCCTCAGCTCTTCAGCTCAAGGCAAGTGCTCTACCACTTGAAACATAGCAACACTTCCAGTTTTCTGGTGGTTTATTGGAGGTAAGAGTCTCACAGATGGGCTGGGAAGGTGACTCAGTGGTAGAGCGCTTGCCTTGCATGCCTGAGGCCCTGGGTTCGACTCCTCAGTACAACATAAGCAAAAAGAAAAAAAAAAAGCCGGAAGTGGAGCTATGGATCCAGTGGTAAAGCGCTAGCCTTGAGCTGAAGAGCTGAGGGACAGCGCCCAGGTCCAGAGTTCAGGCCCCACAACTGGACCCGCCCCCCCCCCCAAAAAAAAAAAAAGAGTCTCACGGACTTTCCTGCCTGGGCTGGCTCTGAACCGCAATCCTCAGATCTCAGCCTCCTGAGTAGCTAGGATGACAGACTCGAGCCACCGGCATCTGACCCGAGTGTGTCCTTTGGACCACTGCCTGAAAGATTACAAGGGTTCCCTGACTGGAGACGGCGCTCGTTAGGTGACGGGTCACCCGCTGCGGACAGCCCACGTGTGCCCGGCTTTCCCGGGGTGGGCCGTGGTGAGAGGAAACCTGTGTGTGTCAGGAAGCACCTGTGTGTGCCATTGCTCGTGTCTGAGACAGTGGCACAGGGATTGTGGACTCAGAAGCATGGCTGTCAACAGCTCCCCTGGGGCCTGACAGACACTCTCCAGCGTAGTCACCCCAAACCCAGCAGGAAGGAGGTGGAAGCCCCTGAGGCTGAGGTGGCCAGCAGGCTCCTGAGAGCGCAGTGGCGGCTGGCGCCGTGAGCCGCGTCTGAGCTGGCGCGGCCGCTCACAGTGCAGGCGGACAGCCACAGCTTCCCACGGGAGAACGTGAAGGAGTCACAGGGACACAGACCACCGTCGCCAGCTCCAGGGGCTGAGACTGAGCTGTACAGTGCCTAGCGAGCAAGTGTGAGGCCCTGAGTTCAAACCCCAGTAACACCCAAACAACAAAACACAAGGCCCGCGGGGCACCTCCGGCTCCTCTCCCCCTTTCTGTGTCTGTGCCGTTTCTGACCTTTAAGAAGGCAGCCTTGTCCCGGTGGCACACCTCCTCCATCGCCTCCATCAGCTCTTTGCAGGCCTCCAGGCTCTCTCCGCAGCTGACCAGCTGTCCGTACAGGGCCTCCAGCTTCTCTTTCTTTCTCTCCCCGAGAGCCTGTATGTTTTCCTCATAGTTTTGAGCAAGCGTTTCCAAGATCTCGTTGTAATGGGACTCAAAGTTTTGTTCCTGTCTTCCGAAGTTCTCCTGAAAGACAGCCGGCCTCAGTCGGGGCCTCCGTGCCCGGGTGCGGTGGCAGTCACTGAGGCCCACCAGCCTGGCAGCACTCTGCCATCCTTTTCCAGTTCAGCTTCCTCCTGCTGCCATGACAGCCGGCCCAGGAGACTACCAGTTTTTTTAAGGTAGGAAGAGAGGCCTTCCTATATTTCCTCCTGAGCTGTCAAAGCTCCGGATCTTCACTTCACAGGAACCTCAGCACTACTAGATCCTGACCACCAGGGGGAAGGGGAGGTGAGGAGCAGGGCTGTGGCCAAGGGGGCGCTGCCCTTATGACATGCAGAGAGGAGAGGGGGTGCCGTCCTTAACCGGGGAGCACAATGCATGAGGCAGGGGGATGTGCGGGCAGAGCGGTCCCTGCCCAGGGCACCGGTGCAGAATGGGGTGACCTGCGTGTGTGCGTGTGCATCCGCCTGGGGGCAGTGGGAGGGCTGAGGCTGCGGAGGAGAGCAGGCAGCGGGGCAGTGCTGTGTGTGAGAAAGCACGTCCACTAAGGCGCGCCAAACGAACACGCTCACCTCCACCGTGACGAAAACCTCCTCCAGGTGGCTTGCGAAGTTCTCCATGTCGATGATCTGCTGTTCCAGGCGGTACATGTTCCTGTGGATCTCATCCTGCCAGCAGAGCATCACCAAGGAGGTGTTAATGCTGCCTTGGTCCTGTCTATCCCCAAGATCTATTTCACGCGCGCACACACACAAACACACACACACACACGCACACGCACACGCACGCACGGAGCTCCTACCCTGGCACTCTCCAGCGCCTTGTCCAGCGGGGTCACGTGGTGGTCCCTGTGTGCTGGCGAGTCCCTCTCGGCAGCCCTGAGCGGAGTCTTGCAGGTGACACAGAAGACGTCCGCGGCTTCCTCCTCATCCTCCTCCTCCGGGATGACGTAGCACTCGTACTCCTCGCTGGCCCGGCCGTGCGTGTACCGGTAGGCTTCCCGTGCGTCCCGGCACTGGCCTGCGGAGCCCCAGCCTCCATAGCCCGGCTCCTCGGCCTCTCCACTAAGCCCGAGGTCTCTCTGCACCCCATAGGGGGGATACCCAGGAACCCCCATTCTGTCTTCATCGACTACCTCGTCCCCTAGTTCATGGTCATCTTCGAGGCCATATAACTGGACAAGCTCACCCACTCGCCCCTGAAGGTCTCCTCGTACCTTTGCTTCCCCTGCCCCTCCCGGCTCACTGCCGACTTCAGCTTGGCCTACTTCTCTCCTAATGCTTGTGTTTTCTTCAGGGAGGATGTGTTGTCGGTCCTCAGAGTCATACAGGTCCATGTGGTAAAAGCTGAAGTCTCTGGAGGCTACAGGCCTGTCCAACCCAGGCTCCTCCTCAGCTTCCTCATCCATGGCGATTCAGGGAGCCCTGGGATGCTGGGGTGTGCACAACAGCTCCCTCCCCAAGGATTAAGGGGGATATGCTGGGTCCTAGGGTTTGCAAAGAGCAAAGGTCTCAGTGCCCGAGCACACAGCCAGTATAGAAGATGGCCACGAGAGCCAGCACCACTCCAGAACAGGTTTAGATCATGGCCAGCTCAGGGAGTTTTCACTGTGAACCGCTTGAGAGAGTGGGGTAGTTAGCGGGATGTGATGATATAGGCAAAATCCCAGCACTTGGGAGGCTGAGGCAGGAGGCTAGTACGTTCATGACCAGCTTGGGCTACATACTGAGACTGTCTCTTAAAAAAGTTTTTAAAGGGCTGGGAAGGTGGCTCAGTGGTAGAGCGCTTGCCTTGCATGCCTGAAGCCCTGGGTTCCATTCCTCAGCACCACATAAGCATCACATAAGCAAAAAGAAAAAAAAGCCGGAAGTGGCGCTGTGGCTCAAGTGGTAGAGTGCTAGCCTTGAGCTGAAGAGCTGAGGGACAGCGCCCAGGCCCAGAGTTCAGGCCCCCCGCCCCCCAAAAAAAGTTTTTAAAAAGGTGCATTTTTGGCCAGGAACTAGTAGCATATACCTGTAGCCTAGCTACTTGGGAGGCGAAGATTGGGAGGGTTCCAGTTCAAAGCCATCCTGGGATGCAAAGCACCAAGATGAACTGTTAGGCAGACAGAGCAAGAGGACTGGTGCACTGGCTGGCAGGAAAGAACTCTTCTCTTCTTTCCCCGCCCACACCTGCCCTCTGTACACACATGGGATTGTGCTCAGAGCCAAAGCAGAGGTTTGCAACTCAGCCCACAGCTTTCCCCTCAGCCCTGCCTTTAGGGAGAAAGGAACCGCATGACCACCACATGACCAACTGACATTTTGTGAAGCATAAAATGGAGGTTCCGTCTATAATGAACTGCCTGGCCCTGTGCCATAGGGTGGCAGTGGAAAAACCGAGCAGAAATGCCTACAAAGAGGTGCAGAAAACATTTACCCTGCCAGCTGCAACTTCTGTAATTTACCAAGATAGCTCTTCCCTTTTTTGTGTGTTTTTTTTGGGGAGGATCCGGTTGTGGGGCTTGAACTCTGGGCCTGGGCGCTGTCCCTCAGCTCTTCAGCTCAAGGCTAGCATTCTACCACTTGAGCCACAGCGCCACTTCCGGCTTTTTCCTTTTTGCTTATGTGGTGCTGAGGAATCGAACCCAGGGCCTCACTCAGCACGCAAGGCCACCTTCCCAGCCCCAGCTCTTCCCTTTTAAAGGAAAGAAACCACCTTAATATGGTGGCATTCGGCTGGGTTTCTAATCATAGTTTCCCATTAGAATAACATCATTTCCCCAAACTTGCCTGCTCCTTTAGACGCTGTCTTGGAACTCAGAGGACCTGGATTTCTGCAGGAAGACTGGAAGCTTGACCAGGGGGCTCCCCTTTCTGGTGGGGCCTCTTCTCCCCCCGGGGTTCTGCCAGAGGGGCACAAAGCTGGACGGTAACAGGAGCTGCCTCCCGCTGCAAATAGCAACAGGCCTGCCATGGGTGCAGTCCAAATATAGCGCGGCCGGCTGCCCGGCCCTTCTCATGTGTCACTGGAGAGGTCACTTCCGCAGGCCGGCGGGGGCCGGGCCCCCCGCCTCCCAACCCCCTCGTTCTCTGTTCTTTTTCTGGGGGTTGGTGTCTGGGTTTGAGCCCGCCGCCCCGCTCTGCGGGCCGAGCCGGAGGTGGACTTCTCCCCCTGGCTGAGGACCAGGGCAGGGCGGGCAGGGCGGGGGCAGAGGCAGAGCGGATGGGGTCGCCGTCGCACGCTGGGGGCCGGGGTCCCGCTCCGGCGCCCCACGGCCCCTCCGACAGCGAGGCCTTGCTGCAGGAGCAAAGGTGCGCGCGCAGCCTTGACCCTTGACCCGGCGCCGCGCAGTGGCCCGAGCGCAGGCCGCTCGGGAGGCGCCCGGCCCCCGACCTCTGACCCTCTTCGCCCGCGTCGGCCCGCGCCGCGGTGGGAAGGGGGGAGGCGGGAGCGGCCCTTCCGGGACCCGCAGGGAGGCCGTCTTCTCGACTTCCTTATTGGCGGGTGCGGACCCACCCTCCGGCCAGGCAGCCAATCGCGTGCGCCGGCCAATCAGGGGCAGGGGTGGGCGGGCGTCGCGGGTTGACGGACGGGCGGCCGTCGCGGCCCGGACGCGGGCGGGCGGGATCTCGGCGCGGCCGGGCCCCCGCGGCGCCATGCAGGACGAGCAGCCCGACAGCCTGGAGGGCTGGGTGCCGGTCCGCGAGGGCCTCTTCGCCGCACCCGAGCCGCACCGGCTGCGCTTCCTCGTGGCCTGGAACGACGCGGAGGGCCAGTTCGCGGTGACCTGCCACGACCGCACGGCGCAGCGGCGGCAGGGCGAGGCGGGCGGGCGCGGGCCGGGGCCGGGGCCCGGGGCCGCCGCGCCGCCGCCCAGCTGGGCCGGCCTGCTCTCGGCCGCGGGGCTCCGCGGCGCGCACCGGCAGCTGGCGGCGCTGTGGCCGCCCCTGGAGCGCTGCTTCCCGCGGCTGCCGCCCGGGCTGGACGCGGCGGGCGGCGGGCCGGGGCGCGGGCTGTGGGCGCGGGTGTGGCCGGCGCGCGCGGGCCCCGGCGAGGCGGCGCTGCGGGAGCTGTGCGGGCAGCTGGAGCGCTACCTGGGCGAGGCGGCGGGCGGCTGCGGCGGCGCCACGGTGCGGGACGCGCTCTTCCCGGCGGCGGCGGGCGCGGCGGGCGCGGCCGACTGCGAGAGCCCGCGCGAGTTCCGGGAGCGCGCCCTGCGCGCGCGGCGGGCCGAGGCCGGGGCGCGGCTGCGGCAGGTGCGGGCCGGGGCGGGCGGGCGGGCGGGCGGGCCGAGGCCGAGGCCGGGGCGCGGCTGCGGCAGGTGCGGGCCGGTGCGGGCGGGCGGGCGGGCGGGCGGGCCGAGGCCGGGGCGCGGCTGCGGCAGGTGCGGGCGGGCGGGCGGGCGGGCCGAGGCCGAGGCCGGGCCGCGGCTGCGGCAGGTGCGGGCGGGCGGGCGGGCGGGCGGGCGGGCGGGCCGAGGCCGAGGCCGGGGCGCGGCTGCGGCAGGTGCGGGCGGGCGGGCGGGCGGGCGGGCGGGCCGAGGCCGAGGCCGGGGCGCGGCTGCGGCAGGTGCGGGCCGGTGCGGGCGGGCGGGCGGGCGGGCCGAGGCCGGGGCGCGGCTGCGGCAGGTGCGGGCCGGTGCGGGCGGGCGGGCGGGCCGAGGCCGAGGCCGGGGCGCGGCTGCGGCAGGTGCGGGCGGGCGGGCGGGCGGGCCGAGGCCGGGGCGCGGCTGCGGCAGGTGCGGGAGGGAGGGCGGGCGCGGGCTCGCCGGCGTCGGGCACGAGCGCGCACGCGCACGCGCACGGCGTCGGCTCTCCCCGGCGGGGAGCCGCCCCCTCGGAGGCCCGCGCGGTGCCCGGGCTGGCTTTGAACCGCGATCCCCAGATCTCAGCCTCCTGAGCAGCCGGGATCGACGGAGCCGTTAGCTCCTGTCACGTTCCCGTATGGTTAGCCCTCTCCAAAAGCAGCCCGCGTGGCGGCTGCCACCGCTGGCCAGGAGGGCCCCTCGTGCTGTGCATTTTGGCTGGAGCCGCTAGCATTCTCATAATTAACCTTTAACGTAGATGCAGCTACAAGCCGAGAACATAAGGTCTCTTGGTTTTGTTTGATGTGATCTTCTGGCCACCAGGTTCTCCAGGGGCATGGGAGAGCCAGCACCTTGGTCGCATTAATGAGAGTTTATCAAGAGGAAGAGGAAGCATATCAGGAACTGGTCACCGTAGCAACCATGTTCTTCCAGCATCTACTGCAGCCCTTTAGGGACATGCGAGAAGTTGCAACTTTATGCAGGCTCAACATTCTGGTATGCGTTCTTACTTTTAAAACTCTATAACCTATTATACACAACTGTTATCTAATATATGCAACTATTACCCATTATATATTACCGTCTGGTACTTCTTTACATTTCAGGTTCAGTTTGTGTTTTCATTTTGTTTAGGTTCATTTTTCTGCTGTAAAGATACTGAGTTTTATTTGAAATTGATTTTAAAAATTGGGGTTTGGGTTGTAACTCAGTGGTAGAGCACAGGTTTGATCCTCACCACCAAAAAGAAAAAACACAAACCCGAGGATCTCCAGTTCTAGGCCAGCCCAGGTTACAAAGCAAGTTATATGTGATATTCTGCGTCTTAAGCTCCACCTGGGGTCAAAGCAAAATGTGGCCGTCCAGGAAGAGCTGTTCTGTGCCACACTGGGAAAGGAGCTGTGCACTTCCTGACCCCCACTGTGGAAGGGATGGCTGAAGGAGTGGAACTTAAGGCACAGCAATGAAAGTAGTTAAGGCTGTCACAGGACCCGTCCACTTCCCCTTACCTCTTCTTTCCGTAGAAGTCCCTGGATGAGGATGATCTCGGTCCCAAAAGGGTCATGGCTTTGCAGAAGGAAGCTGAAGAATGGACCAGACAGGCTCAAGAAGCTGTCGCCTCGATTCAAGACATCACCGTGGATTACTTTAAGGAAACAGTGAAGGCATTAGCAGGTGATAGTAAGAAAATGCCGGCTGACATAATTTTTACTGCATTCAAGGCATTTGGATAAAATGCCGGCATGGGAATGGGATGTAAGGATAAGTCCAGGTTGACCCTGTGGTGTGATCTCCAGGGCTCCCACTTTTTATTTTTTTGGCTGGTTAATAGAGGATAAGAGTCTCATGGACTTCCCTGCCTTGGCTGGCTTCAAACCTCCAACCTCTGATCTCAGCCTTTTGAGTAGCTAGGATTACAGGTGTGAGCGCTACATCCAGCTAAATATTGCTTTTGTATTATTATTATTAAAACAAAATTTGTAGCTGGGTGCTGGTGGTTCACACTTACAATCCTAGCTACTCAGAAGGCTGAGATCAGAGGATAGCGGTTTGAAGCCATGCTGGGCAGCAAAGTCCAGAAGACTCATCTCCAATAAGCTGCTCAGAAAAAGCCAGAAGTGGCACTGTGGCTCAAGTGGTAGACTGCTGGCCTTGAGCAAAAGAAGCTCAGGGACAGCACCCAGGCCCTGAGTTCAAGCCCCAGGACTGGCAAACATTTTCTTTTAAAAAATGTTCAGGGGAAGCCGGGCGCTGGTGGCTCATGCCTGTAATCCTAGCTACTCAGGAGGCTGAGATCTGAAGATCGCGGTTCAAAGACAGCCCGGGCAAGAGAGACCATGAGACTCCTATCTCCAATAAACCACCAGAAAACCGGAAGTGGCACTGTAGCTCAAGTGGTAGAGTGCTCGCCTTGAGCTGAAGAGCTGAGGGACAGCGCCCAGGCTCAGAGTTCAAGCCCCACAACCGACCAAAAAAAAAAAAGTTCAGGGGATAATAATGGGAGATAATGAAAGATTAACTCAGGATAAATTATGCCCCTTAGAGAGTTTTAATTTTTTTTTTTTTTAACAGAAATGCAGAGACAAATGGAACAAGATGAGAAGAGATTTGGCCCTGCAGCCTGGGCCACGGCCACTCCCCGCTTGGAGAGACTTAAGCGCCTGTTAGCTCGGGAGACTTTGCAACTGCTGAGAGCCAGAGAGTTGTGTTTAAATCACAAAAAAGCTGAGATAAAGAGAAAGGTAAGATAAAGGTCAAAGAATCTTTATTTTAGGTTGCATCTTGGTTCAGGAGCTTCCTTCTTACTGAGTTTCACACCTTTCACAGTAGACTAGACTGGACACTGGAAAGTTAAAATTTCCCTTTCATGAAGATGTGTTCCTGAAATATTATATTGCACAATTCACTTATTGAGCGTAGCATTGAAGTGCATAAAGTACGTTCAAAATCACTTCAGCAATAATACTTTTTTTGGTGGAGCTCAGGTCTGGACACTGAGCACTTCTCTGGTCTCTTGGGTCTTTACTAAAATAATCAAAGAATGCTGCTGTAGGACCATAGCCACTGAACTTTGTCCTGTAATCTTAGGACTTTAAAGCAGAAACTGTAGGCACCACATTGTCAATCTGGGCTGCTGTAGGGAATACCATAGCTTGGGGCTGCAGCTGACCTGTCGTTTCCTACAGTTCAGAGGACCCTGGGCCTTCAGAATCCATGTCTAGGGCAGTGTCTTCCTGGCTGGTGGGCGGGGCCTTCCTACATGGGCTCCGTGGGCACCTTGTGTGCCCTGTGTATACCCTGTGTGTGCAGTGCATCTGAGGCCCAGTATGGCTTCATCTGACGCCACGCACTTCCACCCCTTGGGCTTCAGCAGACTCGCCCGTGACAATGCCTCACCGCCATTTCCTCAGAACCCAAATGCTTCCAGGTTTCAAGAGTGAGGTATTCGTAATGAACGTGGAATAAAACATTTTTCTTATTGTAAAGCATATTAAATAGGTATTTGATGAAGAGAATACCACACACTATTCAGGCAGGAAAAGAAGTTTTATTTACGGAACTGCTGCCCCCGCCATGCGTGGTGGAGAGGCAGGGCTGGAAAAGGAACAAGGGGAGGGTTTCCCACCCTGGGAACAGGACTTATCTAGGCCAGCGACAGGAAGAGGTGTGGCCAGGTGAAGGAAAGGTGTGGCCACACTGGATCCGGCTGTGACCTCAGGGTCTGGGACCCTCCTGAGGTCAGATGGGAGGCATGTGACCTAGCAGGAGGGGAAGGTGACTGCTTCCAGGTCTGCCAGTTACCTAGGTAACAGATACTGGGTGGAAACTTAGCCAAGAGGTAAGGAGGTGTCCCAGTGCAGACCTTACACTAGCGAAAAAGTACTTGTTAATATTTATTACTGAGGAATAGGAAGAAGCTAGTGTGCTTTTAAAGCTTACATTTAGTATGCTAATTAATTTATTTTTCCCTGAAAAAAAACCAAGATGGAAGACCTTCCGGATCAAGAAAAAAATGTAGATGCTGTAGATGAGCTAGAAATGCAGTATTATGAAATTCAGTTGGAACTATATGAAATCAAATTTGAGATTTTAAAAAATGAAGAAATACTTCTTATTATACAGCTGGATTCTATTAAAAGACTTATAAAAGGTAAAATTTATGTTGTAAAAAGAAAATGTTTAAGTTACATATTTTAGAGAATACTACAAACTTAATTACTAATTATAAATTATCTGTAACATCTATTGAAGTGTGTTAGTTTCCCTTCAGTATTTTGTTTTCCCTATTGTGGGACTTGAACTCAGGGCCTGAGCGCAGTCCCTGAGTTCTTTTGCTCAAGGCTAGTGCTCTACCACTTTGAGCCACACCTTTACTTCCACTTTTTTGTGATTACTTGGAGATAAGAGTCTCAAGGACTTTCTTGCCCCGGCGGCTTTGAACTAACTCCTCAGATCCTAGCCTCCCAAGTACTAAGATGACAGGCGGGAGCCGCCACCAGCGCCCAGCCAGCCCGTCAGTGCTTTGGCCCTTTTTTGAATTGGTCATTTTCAAGGTGGGGTCTTGCTTTATACCCATACCAGCCTGGGCTGCAATCCTACCTGAGCTTCCCAGGTCCCTGAGCTCTCCGGGAGTAGCACCACACCCAGCCCTGGGCACTGCACGCGCTGCACCGCACCTCCAACTGGGTGTGGTTGAGATGGAATCTCCCACCCCCCTGGCCTTGAACTATAATCTTCATTCTCTGCCTCCCAAGTAGCTAGGATCACAGGCTTGAGCTACTGGGCCTAGCCATTCAGTATTTTTATTTATTCATTTTTGGTCAGTTGTGGGGCCTGAACTCGGCCTGGGCGCTGTCCCTCAGCTCTTCAGCTCTAGGCTAGCGCTCTACCATTTGAGCCACTGTGCCAATTCTGGCTAGTTCTGCTTATGTGGTGCTGAGGAATTGAACCCAGGGCCTCATGCATGCAAGGCAAGCACTCTACCACTGAGCCGCCTTCCCAGCCCCCCCATTCAGTATTTTTATTATTCAAATGTATTCATTGTTCAACATGCAGCAAAACGGAGAAAGGAAAACTCCAAGCCCATCATTTACAGATACTTAGGAACAATTTGCTGTTGATTTTGTAGCTTTTTTGATATAGTTAATGTAAATGTGACTGTCAGTTTTTAAAACCAAAACCTTTGTTTGGTAACCATATTTTACTTATACTATAATAAACATCTTCTATTTCAGTAAGAAAAAATAAAAAATTTTAATGGCTGCATAGTATCCAAATTTATAGGTATACTTTGACTTCTAGCTTAAAAAATGTCTTGAGCAGAGAATTTCCCTTCATACATGTTTTGTGTATAGGATAGTTTCCTTGAAATTAATTTCTAAAGTGGAATTATTGGATTAAGAACGTCTTTTACATTTTAATGCACATTAAAACACCACCAGTACTAAAGTTATTTGGGATGCACTTTTCTTACATCTGTATTGCTTTCTAATTCTAAATGTCATGCTTCTGGTACCAGTGTACAAGCAAATGCTTCACTCACTCCTGCCTGTTTGTCAATTGATAGAAAAAAATGCCACCTTCTGATTTTCACAAGTGATACTAACCACAGTTTTTTGTTTTTTTTTTTGGGGGGGGGTCGGGTCCTGGGGCCTGAACTCTGGGCCTGGGCGCTGTCCCTCAGCTCTTCAGCTCAAGGCTAGCGCTCTACCACTTGAGCCACAGTGCCACTTCCGGCTTTTTTCTTTTTGCTTATGTGGTGCTGAGGAATCGAACCCAGGGCCTCAGGCATGCAAGGCAAGCGCTCTACCACTGAGCCACCTTCCCAGCCCACTAAACACAGTTTTGTGTTTTCTGGTCACTTAAGAGTTTTTGTCATGCCTACTCATGGTCTGTGTTTTTCATTGGAATGTTTGTTTTCCACATTAAGGATATTAGTTTGTCAGACTCTGGTGGAAAGTGAGCTTTTCTGCCCAGATCAGTAGTGGTCCTTACGGCTTTGCAGGGATGCTTCCTTGCCAGAAGCTCACACTGCTCTCATCTGTTGCTTGGCTCGTGAGTCTGCACACCAACCCCTGTGGTTCCTGGACCTTGGGGCACGGTTTCCTCTCGGGAGGCAGGTGCCACCCTCGCCGCTTCTCCAACATTTTATATCTCCTCTCGCTTTTCTGTCCTTCTAGATGGACGTAACAATCACTTGGGCAAGCTTAACACAAACAAACGCAACTGCAAGTTTGATTGGGATGGTGCTTAAAGTTAGAGATTACGTGGGGAAGAGCTGTCACCTTTGCAGTTTTGAATCTTCCTGCCCAAGGTGATGGTATGTCTCTCCATGCATTTAAATCTTTCCTTTTTCTAAAGTTCCTCCAAAGTTAGTAATTTTCTTCATGTACATCTTGGACATTTAGTTCAAGCCTTGGTATTCAAATTTTTTAGTACTTTCAACTTATACACTTTTTTTGGTATTTAGGAAGAAATTCTGTTGGAAAGTTAATGTGGAAGGATGCATGCCAAATTGATGTTTGCTCCTAAAACCTGGACTCAGTGTTTGAGAAAGGAGGAAGGAATTCTCACTTTTTATTATGCACTTATGTAGTGAATGAGTTTATTATGAGTATGCTTTTTTTAAAATTTTTGCCAGTCCTGGGCCTTGAACTCAGGGCCTGAGCACTGTCCCTGAGCTTCTTTTGCACAATTAACACTCTACCACTTGAGCCACAGCACCACTTCTGACTTTTCCTGTTATGTAGTGCTGAGGAATGGAACCTGGGGCTTTGTGCATGCTGGGCAAACACTACCACTGAGCCACCTTCCCAGCCCCTATAAGTATGCTTTTAAAAAAGTATGCTTTTAAAAAAGTATGCTTTAAAAAAGCAATACACAAACAGGATTAAATACCAGTAAGGCACCTTTACTATATATTACTGGTGGAAATTTACTTTCTGGATTGCTACTTGATACCAAGAATCTGGAATATTCATTTGCCAGCGAAGTACAGATGATTTGCCTAGAGACGTGTTTACTGTAATGAAATTGGTAATACTGCAACACTGGAACATTCTAATAGTAGATACTGCTTAAAGAATACTATGTTGCCATTAAAATTATATTTCCTTCACATGGAAGATGTGCTTTGAACTCTGTTGATATGTGTGTCTGTGTAAGAAGTGTGTGGCTCTATGTACCTAATGTTAATAGTGGGTTTCCATGGGTGGTAGATTTCCCTTATCTGGTGCATTTTTTATAGCAAGGCGTGTTTAAGAAAATCCATCGTTTTTAGAAAAGCAGGATGAAGTTGTCTATTACGACTCATGTGAAAGTGCAGAGGAACTTCAAGTGGTTGTGGATGCTGGGGAGCTGGCGGAGCTCAACCGGCAGCGGCAGCAGCTGGAGGCCAAGCGGGGCAGGATCTGCACCAAGAGGGCCCGCCTCAGGAGCAGACAGGTAGCGGGACGGAGGCTGTACTGTCTCCTCTGTTGTGCTCAGTCGCTAATTGTGTGTGTACATAGATCGTATACATACACATATATATATATGTATATATACACACATATATAAATAGGTAGAAACAGGAATTATCAGCTATGTAAAGTTTTCTGAAATATATTTTATGGATTATAAAAAAATCACGTTATATATTTATTTGTTGTTTTTTGTTGGTTGTGGGGCTTGAACTCTGGGCCTGGGCGCTGTCCCTGAGCTCTTCAACTCAAGGCGAGCACTCTACCACTTGAGCCAGTGCCAATTCTGGTTTTCTGGTGGTTTATTGGAGATAAGAGTCTTAGACTTTCCTGCCTGGGCTGGCTGTGTTATTTTTTATTTTTTTGCCAGTCGTGGTGCTTGAATTCTGGGCCTGGGTGCTGTCCCTCAGCTCTTCAGCTCAAGGCTAGCCCTCTACCACTTGAGCCACAGCACCACTTCCGGTTTTTTTCTTTTTGCTTATGTGGTGCTGAGGAATCGAACCCAGGGCCTCAGGCATGCAAGGCAAGGGCTCTACAACTGAGCCATCTTCCCAGCTCATTTATTTTTTATTGTTGTTGTTGGTCATAGGACCTGAACTCTGGGTCTGGGCGCTGTCCCTCAGCTCTTCAGCTCAAGGCTAGCGCTCTACCACTTGAGCCACAGCGCCACTTCTGGCTTTTTTCTTTTTGCTTATGTGGTGCTGAGGAATGGAACCCAGGGCTTCAGGCGTGCAAGGCAAGTGCTCTACCACTGAGCCACCTTCCCAGCCCCGCACGGGCTGGCTTTGAACTGAGATCCTCAGATCTCAGCCTCCAGAGTAGCTAGGATTACAGGCATGAGCCTCTGGCGCCCGGCTGTTTTTTTTTTTTTTTGAGCCAAAGCCTTACTTGTAACCCAGGCTGACCTTCAATTCATGATCTTCCTGCTTATTACTGTTTTAGGTTATTATAAAGGGTTATTATACAGAAGGGTTATAGTTACATAACTTAGGTAAAGAGTGTATTTCTTTTTGGACAATGTCATTTCTTCCCTCACTCTTATGACTGTCTTCTTATATTTTGTACATATGTACTATAAATACTTAGATACTTTAAAGACAGAAATGAAAGTGCTGTAGGAAGTTATGATAGCACCCATTCTTCACAGGTTGTTAGAGGTGTGGGTTCGGAGCCACACAGATGATCTGACAACCCCAGCCTTTGCTCTCTGCCCCGCACTCCAGCAGGCCAGGCAGGTGTGCTCAGCTCAGCCCTTGGAGCTGTGTAATGGTGGTGTGAGGGAGGACCTGGGACATCTTCCCACACACCATCCCTGCTGCCCAGACCTGCCACTGGCTTCTGGAAAGGCCGGGTTAATAGGACAGGAGCCAGAGTCCATTTCAAGTTGAAATCACAGTCGAGCCACTCAGTAGCCATGGGCCCCTTGGTTCATTACCTACATGTGGTTTGAAGCGAGCCCTGGCAGGAAAGCCTATGAGACTCTTTATCTCCAGTTCACCAGTAAAAATCTAGAAGGAATGGCTCAAGTGGTAGAGCGCCAGTTTGGGAGTGAAAAAGCGGAGTGAGCGCTCGAGTGCCTGAGTCTAGGACCCAGGGCCAGCACGACAAATGCGAATAGCTTAAAAACCAGCTTGGTGTGAACTGCAGCTCTCCAAGAACTCTGCTGGGAACAAAGTGCTCCTGTGCGGAGCCAGTCAGCCCTTCTCATCTGGCCATGGGGGCAGACTAGGGAGCACCCGGAACCGGATTAATGAACACTCACACTCGCACAGGGGCCGTGCCACAGCCCAGGGCCGTGTTAGAAATTGTCTGTGTGCTTTACATTATCTTATCAGGGCCAGTGCAAAGAAACTCACCGGCTCAGATTACAACAGGCTGAAGCAAGCATAAGACATCTTCATCAGCATCACAGCATTCAGATGGTGAGTCACGGAAGGGAAACCTGTGTCCTGAGCTGGCTCAGGCTGGGTGCATGTCAGGGCTGGGCCGCTTTCTTTGTCACGATACATGAGCAACTTACAAACATGTATTTGCTCAAATACAGAAGAGAGACAAAGTAAAAGAAGAGGAGCAAAAGAAAAAGGAATGGATAAACCTAGAACGTCAAAAAACGCTCCAACGATTAAGAGCCTATAAAGGGGTAAGTTCTAGAAAATAATTATTTCACCTAAAGCCCATCTTAGGAGAAAGTATAAAGTATGAGCAGACAACTCAGAACATGAAATGTTTTATTGTTTGTTGTTTTGGTTGGTTGTGGGACTTGAACTCTGGGCCTGGGTGCTGTCCTTGAGCTCCACAGCACCACTTCTGGTTTTCTGGTGAGTGACTGGAATCTCATGGACTTTCCTGCCTGGGCTGGCTTTGAACCTCAGATCTCAGCCTCCTGAGTAGTTAGGATGACAGGCGTGAGCCACCAGTGCCCAGCACATGAAATGTTTTCAAACACAAGTTGTGGTGTATCAATATTATAAACCACAACTTAAAAGAGGTGTTTTTTTTTTGTTTTTATTTTTTGGTTGTGGGGGTGCTGTCCCTGAGCTAGCGCCCTCACACTTTGAGCCATAGTTCCACTGCCAGGTTTTGAATGGTTAATTGTAGGTAAGAGTCTCACAGCGACTTTTCTGCCCCGGCTGACTTTGAAATGCAGTTCTCAGATCTCAGCCTCCTGAGGAGCTGGGATTATAGGCGTGAGCCACTAGCAACCAGCTGGCTTTTTGTGTGTGTGTGTGTGTGTGTGTGTGTGTGTGTGTGTGTGTGTGTGTGTGTGTGTGTGTGTGTGTGTGTGTGTGTCAACCAGCTGGCGTTTTGGTGTGTGTGTGTGTGTGTCAACCAGCTGGCTTTTTGTGTGTGTGGGTGTGTGTGTGTGAACCAGCTGGCTTTTTGTGTGTGTGTGTGTGTGTCAACCAGCTGGCTTTTTGTGTGTGTGTGTGTGTGTGTGTGTGAACCAGCTGGCTTTTTGTGTGTGTGTGTGTGTGTGTGTGTGTGTGTGTGAACCAGCTGGCTTTTTGGGGTGTGTGTGTGTGTGTGTGTGTGTGTGAACCAGCTGGCTTTTTGGGGTGTGTGTGTGTGTGTGTGTGTGTGTGTGAACCAGCTGGCTTTGTATGTGTGTGTGTGTGTGTGAACCAGCTGGCTTTTTGGGGTGTGTGTGTGTGTGTGAACCAGCTGGCTTTGTGTGTGTGTGTGTGTGTGTGTGTGTGTGTGTGAACCAGCTGGCTTTTTGGGGTGTGTGTGTGTGTGTGTGTGTGTTTTAAGACAGTCTCGCTGTGTGGCTCAGGCTAGTCTTGAACTCCTCCTGCTCAACCCTCCTCCCCTCCATGAGAGGACTGAGCTATGCCGCTGCGGTTCAGACCAGCAGGAAAATGGGAAGTAGTTCACCTGCCTACAGATCCACTCGAGTGCACGATCTGGTTCACACCCGTGGCTCCACGCACTGCACTGTCCCACTGGCTTGTCTGCTTTCTTAGAGAACCCCTCTCTTGAGAGAATTACTTAGGGTGGGATTTTCTTTATCACACTGACATCGCAGGCTGGAACCATACACACTTGGAGGAAAAAAATACCCAGTCCCTTTGATGTACTTTTTTTTTTTTTTTGTCGGTCGTGGGTCTTGACTCTAAGCCTGGGCACTGTCCCTCGGCTCTTCAGGTCAAGGGGAGTGCTCTACCGCTTGAGCCACAGCGCCAATTCGGGTTTTCTGGTGGTTTACTGGCGATGAGTCTCACGGACTTTCCTGCCCGGGGTGGCTTTGAACTGTGATCCTCAGATCTCGCCTCCTGAGTAGCGAGGATGGCAGGCGTGAGCCACTGTGCCTGTTCTTTTTACCCTACCATTTGTATTCAACACTTCAGATTTTGTATTACTTCTTTCCATGACTTAATGTTTTGACTAAATTGGCCATGTTTTCATCTTCCTCTTGTGCTTTAGAGTTCCTGATTTTTAATGTTAAAACTTGTATTTTCATCTAATCTTTTCACATCTTCATTTCATTACCAAGAAGTTAATAAAACTTGATTGAAGGCTATAATTTTTTTTTTATTTTTGGTGGTACTGGAGCTTGAACTCATGGCCTTGAGGTGCTAGGCAGGTGTTGTACCTTCTGAACCATGCCCACAGATCTCTTTGGTTTTAGTTATTTTCAGGTAGGGAATTATGTTTTTGCCCAGGGCTGGCCCTAGACTTTGGTCCTCACAACCGTAGCCTGCTGTGTAGCTAGGATCACAGAGAGGACTGGTTTTGATTGTGATGGTGTCTTGTTAACTTGTTGTTTGGGGTGTCCTTGGACTGTGATCCTCTTCACACTGGAGCATCTGGGATGATTATAGGTGTGAGCCACCATGCTCAGCAAGTGCTTATTTTTGGTTTGAGATCTGGACCAGAACTTGGTGCTGGACCCTTTTGTTCATTGGGTAGCATCCCACCAGCAGAGCCACATCTCCAACCCAAGTGCTTGCTTTTCCAATCCGTAGAAAGAGGCTTAGTAGTGAGATCATGTAAGTGCAAATGACCAGGGGCCACTTTGCAGTGAGAACCTGTGCACACATCACGCTTGCAGAGGTCTGTGCACACCTGCCGGGTGTGCGTTTGTGGCAGCCTTCTCACGAGTTTTTCCATGTTCAGAAGTGTCCGGCTCAGTCTGTGCTGAAGACCTGCCCAGAAGCCATGACTGGGACCCTGCAGCCACCCTCCGCTGATCCCCAGTGGGTATCCAGGACTCCAGGGGCTGGAGGAGGACCTCCCGTCCCCCAAGGCAGGGGTGAGAAGACTCCGCAGCACCAAGACTGTTCTGGAACCATCCCTGTCCAGACACATCCCAAACCCAGCGAGGAACTGTCACTGTCAGCACCGCCACCGCCACTACCTTCTCCTCCTCCACCCCCACCACCACCCCCGCTGCCCCCTGCCCTGGCCTCTGCCTCTCAAGCTGTCACTCATCAGAACTCGGCCCTCAGAGCCCCACTAACAGATGACCAGCCACGCTCCCTACTGTGTGAACTAGCAGAAAGACCACGTGGTTGCGCTGGAAGTTTTCAGGGCCCAGGTAATGGCTGGAATTGTCCTGCGTCACCTTCTTCAGATCAGACTTCCTTTTCAAGAATTCTAGACTTGGAATGGTCCGGTATTTTTGTTGCCTTGAAATATTACTTCTATTAGAGTTGGTGCAGCTGAATTTCATCAAGATTGATAAATATAAACTCAGCCTAAGCAAAAAAAAATGTGTGTTTTAAAGTTTGCTGAGCTTATGGCTTGTGATTCTGGAAGCTATCAAGAATCTACTTCAGTTTTCCTTTTTTTTTTTTCCCTGTCAGTCATGAGGCTTGAACTCAGGGCCTTGGCACTGCCCCTGACTAGGCTTTTTTTTAGTCACAGTTCCACCTCTGGTTTCCTGGTGGTTAATTACAGATGAAAGTCTCATGGAAGCCGGGCGCTGGTGGCTCACGCCTGTAATCCTAGCTACTCAGGAGGCTGAGATCTGAGGATCGCGGTTCAAAGCCAGCCCGGGCAGAAAAGGCCGTGAGACTCCTATCTCCAATAAACCACCAGAAAACCGGAAGTGGCGCTGTAGCTCAAGTGGTAGAGCGCTCGCCTTGAGCTGAAGAGCTGAGGGACAGCGCCCAGGCCCAGAGTTCAAGCCCCACAACCGACAAAAAAAAAAAAAGTCTCATGGACTTTCCTGCCTAGACTGGCTTTGAAGGTGATGCTCAGATTTCAGCCTCCTGAGCAGCCAGGATGACAGGCGTGTGCCGCCAGCGCTTGGCTCTGTTTGTCCTCCTCCTTCCCCCTCCGGACAGCCTCAGGGTTAGCCTAGGCTAACCTGGATCCTGCAGTCCTCCTGCTGCAGTCTTGGAGTCAGGGATGATAGGCATGTGCACCTATCGCTGGCCAAGCCCAGGCTTAACGCACAGAATGTTCTCTCACTGAAACGATGTGTGAATTGTAACTAGAAAATGCCCCTGATTGTAAGACTTATTCTTCCCTGAAGGGAATTAAAGTCAACTGTAGGCTTAAGTCAAAAATGAAGTGCCATTGTCAGCCAGAGGGTGGACTTGGAGTCACCACCACATGAGTGTCTGGGAGTGAACACCGTAGCCACAACCTGCTGTGGACACAACAGGGTCTCAGGTGCCTGAGCTAAAAGTAGCTTCTTCTTGCCCTTGCCCTGACACTCTGAGTGAATCTGTGTTTTGACAGCACTTCACACCCTCAGACATAGAGTGTAGCTACTCCAGGGGAATGTAGGTGGAATCACACACTATATGCAGAAGGACGCGACTGTGCCACCCCTCCCCGTTCATTGAGCTGCCTGCTAGAGTCTGACTGCAAGTCAGTGTGTGTGTGGAAACCACCCGCGTCATTCCACAGCGAGTCACTGCTGACAGCCAGCACTGAAGCCAGAGAAGCCTGCAGGAAGGGAAATGGGACCAGTCCTGTGCAGTGGGTGAGGCTGGTTCCTCCCAGGCTGCTTGGGCGTCCTGAAAAACGCATTCCAACCAGAGGTGTGGCTGTGCTTTAACAAAAAGTGAAGTTGGGCCCAGTAGTTCTTGAGCTGTCCTGGATCTGTCATTGATTGCCAGTTGAGCATCAGTTATTGCGCTATGGGTCTGTGATTTGCCAGTTGGTTATTAGTTATTGAGCTATCCTAGGTCGTTGATTACCAGCAGGTCATCAATGCATTTACTCAACAGAGAGATGATTACTGTTTAAGTAATGGCGCTAACGGGGTGTGTTTGTGTGTTTCATGGCGTTTACCGCGGGGTACTGGGGCCTGTGCTTAACAATGCCTGCTCTGTCTCCCCATGTCAGGATCTATGGATGAAGTGCTGGCCTCCTTGCGGCAGGAAAGAACACCTCTCAGGAAAGCAGAAGGGCCTGCTGTGCCCGAGGGGCCCCCTCCCCACTCCTCAGCCAACGAGCAGATTCTGGCTGCCATAAGGCAGGGGGTCAGACTAAAGAAAGTCCACTCGGACTCAGGCCCACGCCTGGGCCCCAACAGAAAGCCAGCCAGCGACCTGGAAAGGAGCATCAAGGCTGCGCTGCAAAGAATCAACAGGGCGTCTGCCGACTCGGAGGACAGCGACGAGCAGAGCCCTGGAGAGTGGGATCGTTAGGCCCTTCTTGGGTCTGCCGCAGGCAGGCCGGCCACACAGTACCCAGGCCAGTGGGCTGTGGGGGAGACACTGGGAGGAAGCACAGGTGCCGCCACCACGCCAAACCAGTCGGTGGGACCCATTGCCAGCCTACGTGAGAGCACTGCCTCTCCGTGGGGTCACGGGGTCACGCTTGTGTGACTGCTGTGCCGCACCGGGAGACCCCTGACCTCGTCCTGTGCCTATGGATGGATTCTCAGATTGAATGTGAACACTGCCTTAGCAATGATCAAAGCAAATTAAACAGATAACAAGTGTGCTTTACGTATCAAGCACTGTTTCCATGCACAATAAAAGGGCCATTTAGAATGCACTGGTCAGTGAGGGGAAGCAGAAGCAGAGCACAGGCTCCTCCCCCCTCCCCGTGGGTTTGTCTTCCAGGATTTCAGCTAAACCTTGGTTCCTACATGCTCAGGGCGGAGGCCTAGTGGGAATTTTTCTCCTCACCTAGTGTGAAAATAGGAAACTCTTAAACTGTTATCCTTTTTTTTTTTTTGGTCTGGTTGTGGGGCCTGAACTCTGGGCCTGGGCGCTGTCCCTCAGCTCTTCAGCTCAAGGCTAGCACTCTACCACTTGAGCCACAGCGCCTCTTCCGGCTTTTTTCTTTTTGCTTATGTGGTGCTGAGGAATCGAACCCAGGGCCTCAGGCATGCAAGGCAAGTGCTCTACCACTGAGCCATCTTTGCAGCCCTTAAACTGTTATCCTTAAAACCTTGTTTTCCTGTTCTTACAACATCAATCCTGAGTTTCCTCTGAACAGAATGAACCCCACCTGTTTCTAAAGAAACATTCTGTAATAGACCCAAAACCTTCCAACTTGTTCTTCTGTGATTCTGGGCCATACCAACCCTGTGGACCTGGGCTGGCATGGCTGGGGGTGTGGGCAGGCCCAAGTCCTCGGCAGCTACAGCCTGGACTTGCCTCTGTGGGGTGCTGGGGTTCCTTCAGTGTGGCACCGTGAGCTGCCCACAGGAATGCCACAAGTCCTGCGCTCCCAGCGCTCAACCCAGCTCCTGTGTGTGGAGTACCTCCCTGCCAGCCGTGCCCTGGTGTGGACGGAGCCGACCGCACAGCCTGGGCCGCGCTCCCTTGCAGGGGGCTGAGCCAGATGGCTTACTTGCTGGGCTTCGGCTCCAAGTCCCAGAGGCCTCCTTTCCCACTCCAGGTGGGACAGGCCAGGCTCGCCACCAAGACAGCCTTCGATTCAGCATTTAAAAATGGCAAACTCAGGACATTTCATGCCTGTTTTGCGGGTTGAGTGGGGAACCCTGCCACTTGCCAAGGGCCACCTGGGCCTTTATAGCGGCAGGCGACAGCAACTCACCAGTGCAGGCCGCCTGGGCCACGGCCACACCCTGGCCCGCCAGGAAGCGTGGTCAATTTCAGATGTTCAGAATTAGCGCTCAAGGGCTTGCCAAGGGTGAGAAGCCTTCAGGGAGAATTTACACATTTAAAGTTCCTGGCCCAACTATGTCTTTAATACCTCAAAACTTAGCTTCCTTCAGAAACTTCTCTTCCCTTACTGCTCTTTTGCACCCTTCTTCAGGCAAAGCCTGGAAGTAAATCCAAAGTTTGGCTTGAAGGAGTTCAGAGCCGAGGAGGGGGAACATGGCTCCTGTCATCTAGCTTCAAGCCGTCTGAGTACTGCTGCCCATCAGTGTTTGCCTACAAAGCTCCTCCCTGGCTTTCCAGCCCTATTTTCTTTCTTATTTTTTTTGGGTCCGGTTGTGGGGTCTGAACTCTGGGCCTGGGCGCTGTCCCTCAGCTCTTCAGCTCAAGGCTAGCGCTCTACCACTTGAGCCACAGCGCCACTTCCGGCTTTTTTCTTTTTGCTTATGTAGTGCTGAGGAATCGAACCCAGGGCCTCATGCATGCAAGGCAAGCACTCTACTGCTGAGCCACCTTCCCAGCCCCATCCAGCCCTACTTTCTAAAGGCTGGCACTGTACGCACATACACAAAGCCTCCGAGACTTTGTTGCTGTCACCAGGGCAGCCACTTCCCCTGTGGGTTTACGCCAACACCATGAGCTGCTTGCTGCTGCTTCCACAGAGCCCTGCCGTCAGACCTCTGGCAAGCCCTCCTTCACCCTCAGATCTGCCTCCCCTCCCCCCCTACCTTTGCACCTGGTCCCGTGGCTGTCTTTATACCTCAGCCACAGCCCTGGCTGCCATGCGGCCGTGGCTCACAGCCCAGTCCGACTGGACAGCGGCTGGGATCTGGTCCTAGGACGGCTAATCTGTAATTGGCTGTTCTTAGAGCTGTTCCAGAGTGGAAGGCAATGAGCTGTGCTGAGCGGAACTGTTCACTTGTTCATTCCTTCCCTCTCCATTAAACAGGGAACTGCAGAAGTTACTTTCAAAAGGGTTTTGAAACTGGGTGCCAGTGGCTCATGCCTATAACCCTAGTCACGTAGGAAGCTGAGATCGAGAGGTTTGAAGACATCCTGGGCAAATAAAGTCCATGAATCTCCATCTCCAAAATAACCACCAAAAGCCAGACTGGAGGCATGGCTCAAGTGGCGGAGAACCAGTTGAGCAAGTGAAGCGAGTGTGAGGCCCTGTGTTCAAACCCTGCCACCAGCAGAAAGGGCTCTGCTGAATGACCACTCCATATCCTAGGCGGCCATGTACGACCGCAGCTTCACACAGCAGACTCTTCCATGTAGGATGAACACACATGAGGAATGTTCTGGTTTCCTACTGCTACCTTAAATTACTGGAAATGAAGTAGCTCAACACAAGGGTTTCCAGAAGAGATCTGTAGGTCAGGAGTACAACAGTTCAAGGGACGGCACCCTCTCCTGAACACTCCAGAAAACGCGTTTCTCTGCCTTTTCTCGTTTCTACAAGCTGCTTGTGTTCCTTGGCTTGTGGCTCCATCTTCAAAGCCAGAAGGGTCTCTGTGAGGACTGGTGACTAGACTGGGTTGACCCGGATGATCTGGGATAATCAATCTGAATCCCTTTGTCTTTCCACTTAACAATCGAAGGCTCCACGGACAAGCATGTGGCCTCTCTGGGGCCCCTTGTTCTGTTAGCAAAAGGCCCTTGCTGGAAGATAGGTTGCCAAAGTCAGGAAGTTTTCTTTCTTGTTTTTTTTGATCCAGTCATAGGGCTTGAACTCTGGGCCTGGGCGCTGTCCCTCAGTTCTTCAGATCAAGGTTAGCGCTCTACCACTTGTGCCACAGCACCACTTCTGTCTTTTTTCTTTTTGCTTATGTGGTGCTGAGGAATTGAACCCAGGGCCTCATGCATGCAAGGCAAGTGCTCTACCACTGAGCCACCTTCCCAGCCCCAGGAAGTTTTCTTGAGACAGGCTGGCAACCCAAATTGCAGCTGGTCTGAAACCATTTTCAGGAATCGCTCAATGGCTCTCCTTGCGGCGTTGGTGTGAGCAGAGTCGGAGTAGCGACCGTGAGTCATGGCTGGACGAGCGTTTAAGGAAGTTTCTTCTTCTGTTTGACCAAGTGTTGGTCAAAAGGAGTGCAGCTGAAACTAACCAAAGGAGGTATTACGCTTCCAGGAAAGTCTCAAGGAAAATGGCCCATGGGGCCCGGCTTTAAAGGAAAGGGTGGAGAGTCAGTGAGTTAGCGTGGGAGTGGGTGATCGCATTCTTCCCCCCGAGGATGGGGGCACCGAAGTGGCTTGTGTCTTGTTTAGGGACGGTGGCACTCTTGGGAGGTGGTAGAGTGGACACGTCTCTGAAATGGCATCATGTGAGGCTGCCTGTTCCACGGAAGTCCTCAGAGCTTTCACCATGCAAACCATTTCCATAGCTCCCTTTATAATAAGCTGATGGTAACTAAACAATAAAAGGAAGGACTTTCTGACTGGGAAGTGGAGCTGCGGCTCCAAGTGGTCCAGCATGGTCCTTGGGCAGGAGACCTCTGGGACAGAAGCCAGGCCCTGGATTCAAGACTCACAACTGACACTGTCCCTGAAAGCAGGGAAGCGTGGGTGGTGCTGAGGGTGAGGGGGGCGAGGCCCTGAAGTCACTGCGGCCCCTCCCGGCGAGGGGCATTCGGGCCGCGCTTGCACTGATCTTGGAAAAGTCGGTAATTGGCTGGGCTCTGCTTCCTGGCCACCTGTGGTAACGGCCTTGAGGGAGGCCTCTGAGCCCGGCTGCCTGCAGATCTCACCGTGGGGTGGCATGCGGCAGTGATGGGAGGTGCCTGGTCACTTGCGTTTGCAGGGCTGGTGGGCGGCAGAGAGGAACGGCAGGGCAAGGAGAGGGCAGGGCCACAGGAGGCCTTGGCAGGTGGCTCACTCGCTCCTCACACCTAGGGAAGGCATAAGCCCCTCAAAGCCATCAAGCACTCACCTTTGGAGACAGGTGAACCTGAGTTGAGGTCACATTTCAGGAGCCTGGTGGAACAGGGGCTCAAAACAGAGGGGAAAGCAGGGAAGGCCTTATTTTACTCCTGAGCTGAAGGCTGGGCTTCACACCTGTCCTGTGAACAGCCTGTGGAGATGGCTCTTCTGGTGGGGAGCGGTTATGATGAGCTGCCTCTCCAGTGGCCGGCAACCAGCACACACGCTCGCAGAAGACCGGCCGGCAGGGCTAGCGGTGCGGCTCAGGAGTTACCACGCAGTGAGCACAAGTGTGTTCAGATACCAGTACTGCCGAGAGGGGGGGGGGGAGACAGAGACAGAGAGATAGACACAGAGAGACAGACAGACAGAGATGGAGAGACAGAGACAGAGAGACAGAGACAGACAGACAGAGAGACAGAGAGGGAGAGGCAGAGAGGAAGAGAGAGAGACAGAGACAGACACACAGAGAGACAGAAACAGAGATGAAGAGAGAGACAGAAAGAGGAGAGAGAGAGGATAGGGAGACCGAGAGACACACAGAAAGAGACACAGAGAGAAACAGAGGTACAGACGCAGAGAGAGAGAGAGACAGAGAGGGAGAGGCAGAGAGGAAGAGAGAGACAGAGACAGACACAGGAGTGGGGTGGGAGAGAGAGGTCAATCCCTGCAGGAGAGCAGTACCTCTCCAGCGGAGAAAAACGACTGGGAAAGCTCACCGAGGCAGAATATGACCAGTAAATTGTGAAGAAAAGGGTGAGGGAAGGGAAGGAGGAGAGGGAGAGGGGAGATGGGGAATGGGAGACCGAGAGAGGGAGAGGGAGAGGGAGAGGGAGGGGGGAGAGGGAGAGGGGGAGGGGAGATAGGGAATGGGAGACAGAGAGAGAGGGAGAGGGAGAGGGGAGATAGGGAATGGGAGACAGAGAGAGGGAGAGGGAGAGGGGGAGGAGGGA